AGTCTTATTTTTAATTTTAAACATCAAAAATATGTTAAGTGAACTCTTAATTATAAAATAACTTAATTAGATTATATAAATATAAAATTTAACTAACATTCTATCAATAGTTCTAACATAAAAGTATATGAATAAATGTTTTACAATATATTCAAGAAGCTAATTTAAATTTTACCACAATGTCCTATAATGTGATTCTAGATGATAACCCTCACAATACCTGATGTTTTAACTTTTAAGTAATTTTACATAATGGGTATCTTAATACTAAATGACTCTGTACATACGTCGTTCCTGTATCTCCCTTTCAGCACTGGCTAAGAGTATTGCAATTCAAAATTAAACTTCTTCACTCATCTTGTAAAAACTATATATTTACTAAATAATGTCATGAATGGTAGAAAGTTATTATTTACAGTAATTATTTACACACAATAAATCAAACGCACACACTAAACTAGAGGTCGCACACAAAAGTTGCCTCCAGGCTGTACAAGAATCGGCAGAGTGCACACGGAAACTAACAAATATAAAATAGTAGGGGTGAGTTTTGACCTTCACTCTATTCTAGGAATTAGGTGCGTGAGGTACAGACAGTCACACTGCCGACACCACTCAAAGTAATATAATCGCGAAAAATAAAACATCCCTGGAGGTTTTCCGTGATGCGACCTCTGGAAGGTTAAACGAATATTTGTGGCTGTGTTGTTAAATTTTTTATCTCCTCTTTGGGTTTATAAATGGTTGTACAAATGTGCTATTATTAATTGTATAGTTTTAATATTTTCTACCTGTATACCTCATTATGTTTTGTTGTTATTCAAGAAATTATTTCAGAAATTTACCATCACGAGTAGTAAAAACAAAATACAAGTTTTCATAACCTTCTGGGATTTGGAATCTAGAATGTCAATCAGTTTAAAAAATAACCACAAATTCAATTGTTGTTCCCACTGTGCTTTACATTGAATAACATTTTTACAGATCGTTCACCAAACAGCTTGAAGAACGAGTGGAGATGAATGAGACGGAAACAGTGACTTTGGAGTGTGAGACTTCTCACACTGTGTCAACAAAATGGCAGCACAATGGAGTCGACCTGAGTGGCATGGACCACCGCGAGCTAGTCCAGGTACTCATCAGTCATCAGATTGTCACTTACACTGTTGAATCAGCAGAGATTGGACTTTAAACAACAGCTATGGCCGGTGCTTTATTTGTACAACTAGGGTACCAGTATTGATATCTAGTACAATCATTGGCTCCTCATTCCACCTTCCACCATTGCTCTTCAGTATTCGCAGCTAGTCTGGGCGCGCGGCCGCGCTAGGGTGCGGGGTGTAGAGGGGAGTGTTTATTGCTCATTTCCAAAAACATCTGGACCACACGGCTCTCTGGGGTTGTTCAGCGCCTCACTGCTGTCTTCATGGCTTTGGCGTGGAGGACGGTTAGTACACAAGGGTCCGCGCGCCCAGACTAGCTGCGACAACTGTACTTCCCTCTCCTCCATTGATCATTGTGCTTTACAGTAGTTTGAGTTTAACAAAAATAGTAAAACATCAAAACCACATTCCACACTAGCATCTATTTAAAAAATGTTATTGAAATTAATTTTAAAATATTTTTTCTACGACCCACACTCTATTTTCCCTCCTTATATCAAAAATCAAGCTCTGTCTTTTTTATAGAATTTAAGTTGAAATAAATTTTAATTAAATAGCAATGGTACGAAAATAATATTTAATTACTTTATTGACTAAAAATATTTTCTCGACTTCACAAAACAATCAGAATCCTGACAATTGTGTGATCTCCAAAAGATGAAATCTTACTTCTTGGTGTTAACCTTCCTTGTTGATGATTTGTTTTTCATCACCCTGAACTATTTTTGAATATCCATTTTCAACAGTTAATTTAACTAAGTAAGTGTGTTGAAATTAAAATTTTATTATCAGGAGGGCCGCAGCCATCGTCTGATAATCAAGCGAGCTACCCTGCGAGACGCTGGAACATACACTTGTAGTGTCAAGGGACAGATCACCACTTGTGAGGTTACGGTTCATGGTGAGTGTAATGTTTTATAAGTCTTCATCTTAAACTGTTCCCGTTTATGAGTTTTCTCTGAATTGTAATGAAATGTCTAAAGCTAATATTACTAGAAAATTGCAATATTGATGGCTTATGTTTAAAAATCCACAAGGGTCAGGTGTTCAGTTTGTATCCATTTTAATGCAAGAGGTACTTTAATTTATTTGAAAAATAAGTGATTTGATTATTTTTTAAGTTATTTTAAAAATCCCTCTTGTTTTCTGTTATTTCACATATGGTTCTGGTTCTGATCCAATGTGTTTGTCTATTTACTAATAATGAATGTTTAAGGAAATTTACTTTTTCCTTTTATTTTAGGAATGAAACCAGACTTTGTCCGCAAATTAGAAGACTTTGAAGTGAAAGAACAAGAAGTTGCCATTCTTGAAGTAGAAGTGACATCTGAAACTGCAGACGTAGTTTGGAAGAAGGTAATATAGGTTTTTATTGTACACTAGCTGTACCCACGGGCTTTGCCCCGTTTAACTTCATAAGTATTCGCATGGTTCAATCACGTCCCGGTTGAAGTTCGTTCGCTACGCTCACTCACCTTTAGGTTGGAGCTCGTTCGCTGCGCTCACTTGTTTTCAGGTTAGCTCGTTCTCTACGCTAACTCGCCTCCAGGTTGATGTTCGTTCGCTACGCTCACTCACCTTTTGATTTTTATTCTCTAAAAGATTTTTTTGAAATGCCTTTTATTAATTTTTAAGTAGAGCTAGCAAATTTATCAAATTACTGTTGGATTTAGTTGGTTATGGGGTTTAATAACTTTCATTATTCTAAATGCCTTGCATTTTTCTGAACAATAAGATTATTTGGTTGTAATATTAAAGTAGGTATGTATTGTAACATGTCTCCTTGTGTGTAGTATTCTTGTAAATATTGTATATTGTATTCATTAACTGACTATGCTAGTTTTAGCAGTTTTTCGGACATTGTCAATAATTTGTATAAATTCACAAGACAATAAACACATTTCATTTCATTTCATTGCAAATTAGCTGTTGTCATAAATTTTAAAAAATCATCCCTTTTATTGTTTATAATACTTTGATAAAGGTTTTTATGTTTTAATATTTAACATTGGAGAATTTAAACGTTGTTAAGTGCACAGGTGTGCTGCGATTGGGGTTTAATACATTTGGACTTATTCAAAAGTAAAATAGTTTTCTGTGCTGCACTCTGTAGAAACACTGTGGCACTATTTCAAATCATGACTAATGCTAATACAGAATGTTGTAATTATTCAAACCTACAAAACAGTTGGTAAAAGTAAACATCTGCTTTTAAATTATATTTATTTGTAAACATTGTAGATCAAAAAGTCTGACATTGGCCCACTTAAAACCCTCTGGGGCAGAGCCCTTTTGATAGATCTGCACCAAACTTCACTCGAACCATCCTTGAAAGATGCTTAATAATGCCTGAAAGTTTCATTACAATCTGTCGAGCGGTTTCGGAGTCCATAACGTATATACATACACACACACACACATACATAGTTCCTCTTTTATAGATATAGATTATTGTTTTTGAATAGCTTGTCACTGGATATAGGTTTTGTATTAATTAATTTTGGAACGTTCTAAATTAAATTAGGTATATTTATACATATGGCACACATGTGACCCTTACAGTGTTATTAATCTTAAAATCCATGTATAAATTTCAGTTTTAACCAAGTTTTATTCACAGGATGGTCTTCCTGTTGAGTGTATACCTGGGAAGCTGGAAGTGGAGAAGAATGGTAATGTCCGCAAATTGCTGATCCGTAGCACCTCAGTACATGATGAGGGAGAATACACCTGCTCACTAGGAGATCAGGAGTGTGCGGCGGAGGTTACTGTCATCGGTGAGTGTGTCATCTGTCTCACTAGCAGCTCAAAAACTCAGCCGGCTCTAAAGCACACAATGGGATTCATAAAAAGCCCACAATTTGGCTAATTCAACTTGGGACACAGTCTTGCCCTGTACAATCAACCAATTGACTATAGGATGACCACTTAGAAAGCGACCTCCTCTTACATGCGTGACAAATGCTCGCGCAGGTCGCTATCTGTCCGGCCGACCTATAGTATTTTAAGGAATGATCAATGATTACCTTGGGAGTATTATGTACAGGGATAGGGATCAGCTAGTTTACCTGGTAGATAGAGTTCACATTGGCTTTGGTATCACACACAAAACACATGACACAAAACAGTAAAACTTAATATTTCATCCCTGTTAGAAGACTGGCAGTTAAGTGTCTTCTACCCTCTGATGAAGTTCTTAACAGGGACAAAATATTATGTTTTACCGTTTTGTTTTATGTGTTTTGTGTGTGGTACCAAAGATAATCTGGACTCTATCTACAAGTTAGGCTAGCTGATCCCTATCCCTGTACATCATACTCCTAATCAGCCAATTGGCTTTTCCTTAATTTCTAACCAATGATTACTTTGGCAGCTTACTCTATCGAGGTCTTAGCAAACCAATGCGCTATCATGTTGACTCACAACAACTATTCTACTACCAATTAACTTAACTTAACTTTTTTGTAATTGGCTTTATATTTATCTTCTCCAGAACTGCCGCCCCAGATACACACCAACATGCAGGACGTGACGGTGACCAAGGGTGAGAAGGCAATCCTGGAGGTGGAGCTCACCAAGGGAGACGCCCTGGTTCGCTGGTTCAAGGATGACAAGGAGTTGCACTTCTCAGAACACGTGCAGCTCTCTATCGACGGCAAGAAGCAGAAGCTGAAGATCTACCAGGCGGAGACTGCTGATGCGGGGATATACTCGTGTCGCGTGGGTGACCAGCCCGACCAGGTGTCTACGGCCAGAGTCACCGTGGAAGGTAAGAAAACTTTAATTGAATTTGCATTGTTATTTGTTTAAAAAGGTGTATATCAGGAAATATATGCTATGCATTTAAATTTGTCTTAACTTTTAGGTATCCATTTTGTAGGAATTGTATCCTCCCCATATAGATCTGTGCATCTTGAATATCTCAAAATGTCACAGAGCTGGTTTATTAATTTTTATTTTTTTTTACATCCGTGAAATTTCCAAGTAAAGGAGGTTAGTGCAACAAGTTATGGGAAAACAAAACCAAAGATTAATAGGCAGGTCAATTTGGCTGCTGAATAAGATGCTACATTTTTGTCTCCAATGCACACAAGGGAGCTTCACTTTCATAGAAGCCGAATTCGAAAAATTCCGTGTCTAAAACACTCTCCTGCCATTCACAATTCTGCAGCCATATTTGGCAGCTGAGATTAGTAGCTTGAATACCCCACCTTAAATTCTACTCAGTCATTGAAGTCAGTTTCACCCATACAATACTGACCGAGCATTTCACTAGGAGTATCCACCAAAGGCCAAATATTGACAACTCACGTTACAAATTCCAAACAAATAGTACAAACTCCATTACAAATGCATTATAACTGACATTCCCCGTGTCTACCTTCTACAGTCACCATGATTAATACTGTAAAGTAATAAGAGAGTTGTGTTTCAGAACCGTTGGTGGAGTTCATCACCAGACTGCCTGACGTCACTACAGTACCACTCAACTCCGACGCAGTGTTCACAGTCGAGCTGTCACGTCCAGTTGAGGTTAAATGGCTTAAGTAAGTACAAACATACCTAGCTGTCCAAATAATTGTTGTCACAATGTTTTTTTGTCTAAAAATCACAAAATAGCACACCAAGATAAATACCAAGTGAAAATTAAAAAAAACAATTTTTGCTACTAAAAACTCAAAAGTATAGTAATAAATAACAACCAAGCATGTATTAATACATTAATGTAAAAGTCCAAAATGGACTATCTAAATATTTGTTTGTACTATAAATAAATTGTTTTTAAATTATTTTAATTGCAATGCTAAAAAGAGATTTGCACCTGAATTTTCTGGTATCCTACAAATTTAAAAATAATCTTACCAACCTTAAAACAGGGTGTAATGATGATTGTGTAATTGAATTGGCAAAGATAGAGGTCAATTGTGAGTTATTTAGGCTACTATCTTTGCTAATTCAACTACGAGGTCATTTCCTGGAGACAAAAATCAACAGCACTTTGACCGGTGAGACCTACCATCAAAATTAAGCAATCTCTTAGCGAATCGATATAAGTAGTGAAACATTTGATCAAGAATATACATTTTACCTTGTTTTGAGAATCTTGTAAGATATTTAAGTCCTTGTTATTGTTTTGAGATATTGGGTGAACGAAAATATATCCTGTAAACGTGTTAGTCTGCTCTGAACGAATCTCCACCCTCCCAAACACATTAAAACAAGAAACGTTGTTGATTTCAGGAAAGGAAAAGAAATTAAACCATCAAATAGGTACATCATTGAGGCAGATGGAGCGGTCCACAAGCTAACCATCAAGAAGGTTACTACAGAGGACCAAACGGAGATTGCATGCACTGCCTTCAATGTTAAAACATCTTCAAAACTGAAAGTGGAAAGTAAGTATCCCAAGACTTCTAAAGTCAGGAACCAAATTTACTGTAATATATCAATAGATAACAAATTTTCAAGCAAGTATGCAAGTACAGTTTGATAAAGTGCAACTCCTAGAAATTTAAGTGGGGATGGTTCTCAGATCATGGGACTATGGGCTGAAATTCAAACAATCATTGTCATTACAAAAGAGAATTCGTAGTGAAAGACTTCCCTTTACGTGCGTTACAGGTTGAGTTAACTCAACTCCAAAACCCAGATGAAGCAGCGCTAATTAGTTTAAGAAGGCTAGAGTTGGCTTTAATAGGATGATATATCTGCAAGAAATGAACTTTAAAGATTTGACACAGGCCACTTGGCTACAGATATTTTAAATTTAATTAGGCTAGTTATAACCAGTTACAACTCAAATTAGTTGTAGCTGGTACCACTCCACACCAAGCTAGACTAGGTTAGGTCTATCTCACATTTTCCAGATGAAAATTTGAATGTTTCAAAATCTGGAATTTACAATATTAAAGATTGTGTTATTGGTAATGATTCCTTATCAAATGATCTTGTTATTTTTACAGAGATCGAGATTGCTCCTAGGATCAAGGAGGCTCCCAAGGAATACAAGGTAAAGAAGGGCGAAGATGTCACGATTGAGGTCAAGTTTACAGCCTCCCCTCCTCCCACTGATGAGTGGACCGTCAATGGAACTCTCATCAAGAAAAGCAAGAAGGTCAGTGGATGTGTAGCCATATAAGATTTGTCTTTAAAGCTATGGAGAACATTTTGTCAGGGGTATAAAGAAAGGAAACCTCTCTAGAAGAGATCGGAAAAGGGATCTGAAGAGTCGGAAAAGTAAAGCTTAAATTAAACTTTGTATGACCCATAGTTTTGCTGGACAAGTTTTAGGATCTGATACCAGTAAACACGTTCAGTACTTGAAAACACTCAACCAGGTCCATGCGTCTGCACGAGTTAATAAAATATAGATCTTGGTGTGTTCTACTTTACATTTGGAATAATTAAGCTACAGCAATATGTAGGTGTATATAAATCAATAATCTTTTACCAAGTTGTTTAATCTTCTTTGGTTGAAGTTTTACATAGCTAATTGATGTACAAACACAATTTTTGTAATTATTTCTTATTCTTTTACAGGTTGACTACACAATATCTGAAGAGTCAGCTTCTCTGACAATCAAGAAAGTGGAGGAGGTGGATGTCGGGTCTTACACACTTCGTCTCAAGAACACTATTGGAGAAGCGTTTGCAGAAATGACGCTGATCATTATGCGTAAGTGCACTATATGAACTAAAACAGCTAAGTTCAAGTTATATTTACAAACTTTTGCAAGAATAATTTGACCTTGCAGTTCTCTTAAAAAAAGTAAAACAAATAAACTAATAATAATTCTCATTTTGTCGTCAAATTAGACACATCTGTTTTCCTTTCTTCACATTTATTTAATCAATTATATTACATACTTGCATTAAACTCCAAATCATGCTAGAACTCATGCTGTAACATGTCTGTCATGTACAGAGGTTCCTGGAGAGCCTGGTACTCCAGACATCTTGGAGGTGACTGATGACTCCGTTACACTCCACTGGAAGGCTCCGGAGCAGGACGGCAACTCCCCCATCACCAGATACATCCTGGAGTTCCATGACAAGGAGGAGTTCATGGAGTGGCATGAAGTACAAGAGACCATCACAACCACCACCCACAAAGTTACCAACTTGACTCATGATGCTGAGATCATGTTCAGAGTCTCTGCTGAGAATGAAGTGAGTCTATAATCACTGCACTTTGGATATTGATAATGTTAAATGTGTTAAATCATTTAAATTGTTTAGCTACCACCAGACAGGGTTGCAACCAACCAGAATATTTTATGAAATTTTTCTTATGACCACTACTTTTTACCTAGTTGCACCTAGATTGTAGTTTTTATTTTTCCAAATATTATTAGTAGATGTCACATGTTTTCATTTAGGCAAGTCAGTGACTCAGTTGTTAGCGATACTGACCTTGGGCCCAAGTGATGTTGTGGGTTCAAATCCTGTTACCTGACAAATTTTTATCAGTACTGTATCCCCTTGTACTGTATCGGCTAGCCACTTGCTAAGTTGGATATGTTCCATGCACAGGCGTAAAGCCTACGTGGATGTGCAAATTTTAAATTAAAAGGATAAACTAATTTAATGGGGCTACTTTTCAAATACCAGACATGTAAAGGGAAATTGTCAAATGATCCATTAAAAGGAAACCTCTCTTCCCTACAGGGTACCAAAGTCACCTTACAAATACTTGTATGTATGAAATTCTAATTTTTTGGCTCCCACAAAGTAACAAATTTTGGGTCATGGGCAACAATCTGTTTATAGATCCTCTATTAAGATTGTTCAATTGGAGTTTCCCACTTTCTGCTCAAAACCTCTGCCCCACAATATTTTTAAGGTCAATAGACTCAAGTCATTTGTCATTTGTCAAATTATGTATTAAAGTTATGCAAGTAAAGCCATATAAGCTCATGAATATATTTCAAATTCCTTCTGTGGTAGATTGATATTTAGATAAATTCTGAAGTGCTTGTTAAATTGATGTACAATCATTTGCTCTCAGGTGGGCCGAGGACCCAAGTCTCCCAGCACTAAGTACGTAAGGATCACAACACCTGTAGCTGCAGAGCCCCCGGTGATACAGGAACACCTCCAGGACACCACAGTAGGCCTGAACCAGAACATCACCCTCCAGTGTGTAGTCGGAGGAACACCACTGCCGGAGATCAAGTGGTAAATGATCAATGGTTGTTTTAGTAGATTAAATATATTTGACAAGTTGGTTTGGAGGTCTAGGGTTAGTATCCTCTCCCTCTCTATACCAGTAGTGTAAGGCGTGGGAATTGCAATCACTCTGCTTTTTCCAAGAATCCTTTGTGTAAGCCTTACCAGTTTTTACATTAGCCCACACTAGAAAATTTACAACCACACCAACGCTCAAAACGGTTCATTGTTCAAATCCATCCATGCATCAAAATCCATGCAAGTACATTTTAATAAATTATATTAAAGCTACAATTTACTAAAAAATTGTAAAAAAGTCAAAGATTTTAGTTACAAAAACGTTTACAATTAAATTTTAGTCAAGGGGGTTTACATTATACATTTAATTATATAAATAAACCATGAAATTATGAAATTATTAAGTATGATGAAATAAGTTTAACTTATTTTTTTTATGGGGGGTTTTGTTCTTTGTGAGGAATGTTGTTCTGGCAGTTTGATGGCCAGATTTGTGATAAAAATTTAATAATACCTTACTTTACATTACCTTTTCAAGGTATTCTAAGTAACATATTTTTATAAGACCCAGAAATAAAATAATTAAAACAATTTAAATTTTTAATAATTCAAAATTTGAAGCAACAATAGATGAGTCATATGTTGTTGTCTGAACAAAATATGTTGTTTAGTTAATTTTTAAACTCTCACAATTTGCTTGGTGTTCAATCAATAAAATTCAAGGATTTTCTCCTTTTATAAAAGATAAACTTTGCATACTATTTATTTATTTATTTATGTTGTGTTTGATAAAAGAACATTGACTTTTTTCACAGATTTTCATTTAAGGCAACTGGTACATTTGCTAAGTTAATTAAGATTTTTTAAGATCAACTCAATTAATAATTTGTTTGATAAATTGTGATTTTTATCTAATGGTGAAACAATTAAATATAAGCAAACTATGCAATATCAGGTATCGCAACGGAAAGCCAATACCAAAGTCCAAGAAGATGACTTACGAGAACCGTGTGGCTACGTACAGTATGGAGAAAGCCAGTGAGAACCATGCTGGCACTTACGGCTGCAAAGCATCCAACTCAGCTGGAACTGCTGAGACGACCTGCAAACTGCTGGTCCAAGGTAGGACACCCATCAGCTCTCTTGCTAGTAAATGTAAAATCCCCTCCCACACAATAAAAAAACACCCGAGACATAACTTTACAATTGTTTACTGTTACCTATTTTTCTAGCGTTGGATCATTAAAATATATACGGTTAAGATTTTTCAGTTTTATATTACGTTATCCCATGTATTTTTTTTCAATTTACTGTTTGGGTAAGTTTTAGTTTTTTTCCCCCCTACTATTGTAGTCACGTTGTCAGGTTCTTCTGACATCTTCAAGACATGTTGTCATGTCAGTATATTTTTGTAAACAATCTTACAGCTAATGTAGTGAGCTGTTTACTCAAAGTCAAAGTCAAAGTCCTTTATTCAACCAGATCAACAATACATTGCATTGGCCAAGTCAAGAGATTACATTTTTATGAAATTAATTAACTACTAAATACATTATATACAAATTGTTTTCTTTTATGTTGTATAAACATAATACAAGAGTATTAAGTTTAGAAAGTTAAAAAACAAAACACAAGTGTTGGAAAAACAGTGTAGAACAGGAATTACACCATATTTTGTTTCTATCGTGTCTGGTTTAACAGTTAGAATGCAAGACTATTGTCCTGGAAACCTGCATTCAAAATCAATAAAGCTAATGGCAGGTGGTTTTTAGTTATTTGATAATATAGTGAGTTGCTGATCAGTGCCTGCCTTAGACTCCAGGTCCACCAATTTAGAAAACTTTATGATAGGTCAATCACATGAAAACATTTCACATTGAAGAACTCCCTCTATGAAAACCACTTGATTGTTTGCCGTTTGAATCTTTTTTTTCTCTTGGAATAAAAAGTCTGTAAGAGAAAAGATATCTTTTTATGCAAAATTAATGCTTTTGAGTCCCGTACTCAAAGCCATATTAAAACTAAGCTTTTAAAGCTTACAATCTTCAATGGCAGTCCTCTGTATGTTGTATTGTGTACCAGATGTGCCCAAGCTGGAAGTGCCCGAGGCAGTCCAAGACCAGAGACTCACCTTGGCTACCCAGTGGAAGCCCGAAGTCACATTCAGTGGCTTCCCCCGCCCAGACATTACCTGGGAGAAGGACGGGGAAACTATCATCTCGGACAAGAGAGTTAAGGTAACAGACAGAATGTATGGTGGTTGAAAACAACATTGTTGTTGGACTTAGATCACTAGTTCTTGGTGACCATTCACTGTAAATACTAGTGTTATTTTCATCCAGTAGAGTCCCGCTATTCTGAACTAACTGGGACCAAACCCTGTTCAGCTTAACGGGAATTCAGAATAAGTGTATTTCTTAAATATATGATTGCAATTGCCGATGATGTTCACGATTTTGCCCCAATTGCTGGAGATGATGATGGTGTCTCTGTGACTGTAAAGGTGTTCTCTATTTCACATTAGCGTTGTACTAACATAATGAAAAAGAAATATAAATTTTGAAACTTTTGTTTGGAATAGGCGGATATTTGAAATAGCGGGGTTTTGAATAGCAAAACTAACCAGTAATTGACCAGTTTGTGGTAGTTTCAACCATTGACTATGATTACCTTAAGTATAATTCCCTTCGTATTGTTGAATTCTAAACCTGTTTGATATCCTTATGCCTGTCTTTAGCTAAGGATGAGTTTGTCCAATCTATGGTTCAAGCCCCTTCAAGCTATGGGTTGTATTTGTACATGTATAGATAAATATAAACAAAAACATATGTCTCCTCTTTATGCAATCTTTGTTGCATCAGAAAGCGACTTACAACATTCATAATCATGTGGAGACTGAGATTTTGTTTTCTTATTACACACTACAAAATTCTTATGGGTCTTCCAATAGTCAGCGAGCTATCGCCACAGCAAATTAACTTCTCTGTTATTGGCAGATATTCATTGATGAGACAACCACCACTATTGCCATCTATAGTGTAGAGAGAGCAGATACTGGCAGATACACAGTGCGAGCCTCCAACATAGCTGGAGAAGCTACGGCAGACCTTACTCTCAGAGTCGTAGGTTAGTGTGGGTAGGGGGGCTCACCTTCCCTAGGGGGGTTAATAATTTATATAGACTTTCACATGGTCAGATAATTAATTTTACTTTTTAATAGTTTTGTAGTATATCAAACTAGTGGCAAATATTTCATAAGTTGATTGACATAATGTAATCTTACTTTAGAAAACTTGGATCTTTTAAGAGAAGTGTTCTTATTTTTTTAAACGTTCAGTAGAATATATCTTACTTTATCATCAATGATAATTTTAATCATTTAGTCTCTAGAATGTGAGTATTGTTCATATAGTTAAAATATTTACTTCTCAACTTTAAACCTTACTTGTATGGTTACTGTTCTACCTTTGAGATTGAATTTATCAACCTACACTTTTATACTAAATGATTTGTTTAATATTGCAGAAAAGCCAGGCAGGCCAGAAGGTCCAGTCAAGTTTAGTAACATCACCAGTGACTCCATCACTGTGTCATGGCTGCCTCCTCTAGACAATGGAGGCTTGGATCTTACAAAGTACTTGTTGGAGAAGTGTGAGGCAACCAAGCAGATATGGACCAGGGTACGAAAAGTATATGCCTATCTACGCTAATTAAGTTTTGGTTGACTTTTCATAAAGAGAACTTTTCTTTTAATGGTTGAAAAATGTAATTATAATTCAGTAAAGTGCTTTGAAAATATATTGTTATGCAAGATACTTAATTAAACAATTAATTACACAACTTAATTACTTCACTTCCTGCTTGTCCATTGAAACATATGGAGGTGTTAGCTCACTTTTCTTCCGCTTAAAGTGTCCTTCTTCCTTCTGAGGTTCCTTTTATGGTTCTAGTCCTGTAAATCATCACGTGCATATGGTGTTTGAACTGTATTATTTATTGTTACAGGCAGCTGAGGTGGATGGTAAAACGACCACTCACTCTCTACAAAAGCTTATTGAGAACACAGAGTACATGTTTAGAGTGTTTGCCATCAACTCGATTGGATCATCAGAGCCCCTAACTAGTGAGGCCGTTGTTGTCCGGACTTACTTCAGTGAGTAACCTGTAACTCACCTACAGCAGAACCTTTTGCAACTGACCCTAGTTTTACTGTTGGTCAGAAAAAACTGTTTCTCCACCTCACCTTGCCATCATCAGATTATTTATTTTTTCTGTTTACATGCACATTAATCTTTTCTAATATTGTGTCCAAGAACATAAAATTTTTGTTTTCTACAAAAAATATTAGAAAAGAAAATACTTAAGTAAAATGAACAATTATTTATGAAATCTGAAAAAAAGTTAGAAGATTCATAAGTTAATCTAAATGGACAAGAAGAAATTGTGTTTGATTTTGGTTTTATTTGTATTATTGCTTTTGTATTGAAATTTATTCATAATTATGTTACCTTTGACGGTCGTCAATTCATATCGTGCTACACTTTCATCATCGTAAATGATGTCGACAAGTAAGATGGAAAATTTGGCAATGAAGCAATCTAATCTAAGTCCTCCATACTATTGTCATTGGAAAAATGATTAGAGAATGATTGACAAGGGTAAAAGGTAACACAACCTATTTATTTTCTAGTTATTATTTTTGGTTATTTGAATCTGAGAATATATTAGGACGTCTAGTATTTGATTTTAGTCCATAACACTTTTTGTTTGATAATTTTCTATCACACCTCATTGATTTCATTTTTAACATTGAATACAATTTTGGTTGGTAAAATCTTTGTCCATTTAATCATCTCCAATTATCTTTTCAGACAAGCCCTCGCCGCCCCGGGGCCCGCTGGAGGCGACTGGCATGACGGAGACGTCTTGTACGATATCATGGCAGCCGCCCGAGGATGACGGGGGCACCCCCGTAATCGACTACACGGTCCATCGCAAGGACACATCCAAACGCACCTGGGAGTCACTAGGTAATTACCAATTTCTAACCAAAACTACATTTTCTATATTTGTGGGTACAAGGGTTAGAACACTGGTTAGAAAATAGTTCCACCATTTTGTGATTTTCACTTTACCTTACCTTATTTTTGGGGAAGCGATCTAGGCTAGAGGTAGAGCACAGGGCTTTGGTACCTGAGGTCCAGGGTTAAAATCCTGACAGACTCCAGTGATTTCAGCTATGTGATGATGTTGTAACCCTCTGGCCTTAGGGTAGTGTGTAAGTAAAACGGCTCTGGACTACAGCCTAGTGTCATAAGAAACTAAGGTAGACTCTAAAGAATGTTGCTTACTCCAAACATCGGTAGTATAATTTGACGATGTTAACTGTACCATAACTGTGACCAGGAACCACTACGGAACTTTCACTCAGTGTGTCAAATCTGGTGCTTAACTCTGCCTACACATTCAAGATCGTGGCTCGTAACAAAGAAGGAGACAGCGAACCTTACATCAGTGAGGACCCGATTGTGGCCGGACGCAAAATCAGTAAGTTCACTTTACATTTATTTATAAGAATGGGTAGGCTTGCGCTAAGTAGTATCTCAAAGTGAACAAATTACAACGATAAAGTGATGACAAACCTCTTAAGGCAATTCACAATTATTATGAAACGGTAGACTCTCTGTAGCCTCGGCGACTTAATCGAACCCTTGAATGGACAAGAAATTTGTTGGAGGTATTCTATTGGTATACATTAATGCTCACTAAGTACCTATATAAATAAAACCACCTATGACAATTGTAAATAAGTTCAAAAGACTTGCCAAAGTGGTTCGGTTACCATCCAACACACACTTGGTGAATAAATTCTTTAGAGGCTGACTGGACCATCGGAGGGCCAAATGAACTGAGACTAGACTAGAGAGAGTCTACTATAAGACTTAAGTTTTTCCAATTCATTAAATCCTAAAATTTTTTTAGCTTTTATTTTGGTACGCTTTAATGCAAGTAACAATTAGTGTTTTGCTAAATAAAACTTGTCTTTACAATTTGAGGTCAAAACAGTTAAACAATGGAAATAGATTTTTCTGCTTTGTAATTGATGCTTGTATAATGGCTTGTTGACACTATTCTGCTTTGGTAGTTTTATTTATTATTATATTCAGAAGCAGTAGCTTGTATTCGCATACTTAATGCTTTGCATGGTTCTAAAGCTATGCATTTCCTGTTAATGTTATAAACCAAAGTATTTAGTGGAACCACATACCTGATGACTGCATTTACATTGATGAATGTAAATGTTTTTCTACCCATACCTTTAAATTTTGTATTCTCCCTCATGATTAAAACAAGATCAATTAATTCTAAATTATTTGTTTGGAATCAAAACTTTTGTAGTATTTGAAGGTTAGTATTCAGTTGAATAATTTGGTATTTTTTGCTATACTTGCACCATTATTAGGTTTAAATAATTAGCTAGTTAAGTGGATATTCTTTAGGTTGGTAACCCAGTAGTTAAGCTGCTTTTACTTGTTGTTACAATTCATTGGCTCTTGCTTTCCAACAACAATAATTCTTATTTTACACTCATTTTTTGTTTGCTTTTTAGTTTTTACTGTTATTTTTTACTCTTACTTGCTTGACTTTGGAAAAATACACTTTTAAAAACCATAATGCAATGCAGTCTTCTTGTATCAATTCCAATATTTGTATAAGAAAACAGCAAAAACGTTAAAATAATATGTTTGAAAGCAAACTTGCTCTCATGTAACGCTTATGCTTTTAATGCTTCGACTAACATGTTGTGTCTGCTTAATTTGCTGACTACAGGAATGAACGAGCTGACTGAGCAAGCTCTTTACGCTTTGCTTGGCATATACCCTCCAGTGAAACCCGGAACATATTGTAAGTTGTATTTGGTAGCTTTATGTACAAGGGCTGATCATAAAAGTAACAGACATTTTAGTCTAGCTTGTCAGTAGAAGAGGCTAGTGCCATCATCTTAGAGCTACATTCAATATCCTTCTAGCTGTTGTAGTCTGTGGACCATAATACTTTTATTCAATTTGGATTTTGGTTGAATCGATGTTCACTATGAATTTTGAAGCTATGTAAGTAAGCCTAGTAGTGTAACTAATGAACTGGTAGCAAAAGTCAGCATGAAATCTGTGAAGATGATGTTTGACAGTTATGAATCTCTTTGAGTATTTCCCAAAACATTCAATTAGTTTAGATCATGGAACAATAGTTCAAATGTGATGTGGTACATTGTTACATGACTTAAAATGGTACATTAATCTTCATATTTTTGGGTTTTTGTTTAGCAAAATTTACCAACTCAGGCTCATCATAAAAATAACCATAATAATATATTCTCGTGAGCTATAACTTGAAATGGATTCTATTAGATGACAATTTCAGACCTAACTGGTTTCAATTTTCCTTGTTTTTAAATAAATATGGGGTCACGCTCATGATATAAGGGTGAAAACCACAAAACAGGCCAACTTTAGTCCAAGCAGAATTTGATGAAAAATATATATTTTCTGAAAACAAATTGTGTTATTTTATTTTCTCCTACCTTTAAACCTCTTATTTGATCTAGTTTTAAGAATCAAAATAAATATTTATATAGTTTTAATAAACAAATTCAACTTAAAAATACAAAACGGTCACTGTCCAAAAGTGTAAGGTTATGTCTAACTCAACAGATAAACAACGAAAAACGTAGCAGAACAACTATTTCATGTACACAGAATAGAAGATGATCAGTTATTTCACCATCAATAGACAGGCATTTGGGGAAAGACATGAAACTGTGGACTTTTTTTTCCAATTTTTAGCTGTCCCGCTCCCAATGACGTCAAGGAACACCGAAACTGAACATCGGCCGTGGAAGGACGGTGAAAAGAATTCCCGCGCGAAACGGCAAGTGAACTGATGAGTAATGGTGTAGTATGTGTGACTGCTGAGTTTTGGTTTTAAAACTACATATTTCTTCCGACTATTTCAATTATTTCAGGTAAAATACTCATAGTACCTTAATTAAGAAACAACACGGTCACGTTAAATACTAAAATACTATTATAAATATTCTGATGAAGTAAATAGGAACCAAATGGGTGGTTAGTAGGCTTGTCCATAACCTCAAATATGGCTAAATGCTGCAACGCATTTCTATGATAGAATTGAAAAAGATCCAAACTTACAACACGGTCACGCACAAAACGGTCGCGTGACCGGATGGGTAAATCGTGACCGATTTGTTTGATTTTTGAACGTTGTTATTTAGCGATTTATAAATGTATTTATTTTGTTTTTATATTAAATTCTTTAAATATAACCTGGACAAATATATTTATATTTATTTTTAATGATAAATAATCAAAATTACTGTCAATTAGGATTTTATTAATTTTTTACATTTCAACCTATATTATCCAACTTTCTAACCTCCCATTCCCATTACATTTTACTGGTGAACGAGGTCAACCTCCTGTGTTACATAACGCACTTAACCCCCCACCCATTGATTTCAAAAATAAAGTTTGTTCTACAAAAAGTAAGCATTATCACCTATGTCATGTTCTATGTCCTATGTCATGTCGCGGCCCCTAGTCAAACTCCCTTTTTTGGACCATATAATAATTCAATGGCTTGACGTAGTGTATTTTTTTTTTTTTTAGAATTCGTGATGCGAAATGGCGCGTGCTTCCAAACTTTCGGCCAAAGAAAAGTATGAGAGACAAAAAGAGCTAGCGAGGGAAAGGCAAAGAAGAAGAAGAGCAAAGTTAAATGAGGAGCAGCTGGAAGCTAAAAGGAAATACGATAGAGACCGCCATGAAAAACTCAAGAGAGAAGGAAAGATTAAGACTGTTGACAAAATGAACCCCAGAGAACACCGAAAGTGGAAAAAATATTGGAGGGAGAGGAACAGAATCAGAAGTATGAAGAAGAAAGGAATTGAAGAGGCTTTGACAAATACACCACCGCAAAGTCCAGTAGGTTTAGGCATACAAGTTTCTTCCCAAAAAAGACGAGGAAGGAAAATGGTTCGAAGAGATAAAGCAAAAGCTTATCGAACCATCAAAAAACAAGAAAATAAAATAAAGTTGTTACAAAGGAGTTTAGAAAAATATAGGAAACGATACGCTAGAGAAAAAGCTAAAAAAACATCAAATGGATCTCCGTCCCCACGGAAGCAAGTGGATCAACTTGTGGGGAATGAAAAGGTGTCAGAAAATGTGAGAAAACAACTGTTTCTTGGTTATGTGCTGCAGAAGCAGATAAGAAAAAGAAAAGAAGAATTGGGAAGTTCGATGAAAAAAAAACAGCTTGTTTCAAAAGTGCTAGGAAACCGAATACTCAAGAAATACAGGGTACAAAAATATTTTAATACTCTCGTACCTCACAAGATCAACAAAATTCTGTCTGACAGTGAAAATAATTTAGAATATACACGAAGAGTAAAGAAAGGGGTTTTGTCAGAGTTGAAAAAACAATTGATATCATTTTTCGAAAACGATTGCGTTAGTAAGATGTGTCCCGGGAAGAAAGATGTAGTAAAGAAAAATGGCATTCAAATGCAGAGAAGAATTCTTCTTGAACCACTCCATGTCCTACATAAGCAGTTCAAACAAGAATTTGATTGTAATATATCCTTCACTTCATTTCGTCGCGCAAGGCCCTTTTGGGTTACATTGCCAAAAAAATCCGATCGAGAAACTTGCGCGTGTATAAAGCATGCTAACATGGACCTGATGGTCACAGCATTGAAACAAGCTAAAGTTATCAAAGAAAATACGCCAAGAGAGATCGTTCAAACCACTGTTTGTTATACTGATAGGGAAGCATGTTTAATGAGTCAATGCCAACAATGTGCTAGTAAACGAGTTGCCTTCACTTACGAAACTGATTTCAAGCTCAAGTATTATCAGTGGAAAAAAATCAAGGAGAAAAAAGTTATAAAAAATAAAGCTAAGTTTGTTCAAAAAACCATAAAAGAAAAAAGGATTGAAAATGCATCGCAAGTTGAGTTGAGTCTGATGAAAATGCTACCATCATTCAAAAAGCATGTATTTTATACCAAACACCAGGCAAAGCAGATTGACTCAAAAATAAACAATCTTGACAAAGACGAATTGGCATTCCGAATTGACTTTTCAGAAAATTATGTTTGCAAGTATCAGAGTGAAGTCCAATCTGTCCATTTCGGAGCCTCCAAAAAACAGTTGTGTTTACACACTGGCGTGGCCTATTTTAAAGAAAGAAATAAAGTTAAAAATGAATGCTTTGCCACTGTTTCTGACAACGTTGACCACCAGGCACACGCTGTCTGGGGTCACATGGAACCAATTTTACAGAAGTATTCATCTCGATTTCCGAAGACAACAAGAATACATTTTTTTTCTGACGGGCCATCATCTCAGTACCGTAACAGGTTTAACCTTAAATTATTCCAACAAATTGTTCCAAAGCACTTTCGTTATGTCAAGACTATGACCTGGAACTTTACCGAGGCCGGCCATGGGAAGGGGCCGATGGATGGCGTTGGGGGGACCCTGAAGCGACAAGCTGACTGGAAAGTCCTGTATGGTACAGACATAACGACTGCTGCAGCGTTCGTCTCTGCTTTAAAAGATACTGACATATATCTCGAAGAAGTGACTCCTGATCAGATAGAAAGTTTTAGGCTGCGAATAACTTCGATGAAAGTCCCGGCTGTAAAAGGGATCATGAATGTCCATCAAGTAACCTACAGTCAGGGACTCATGTACGCTAGGTCGTTGTCATGTTTTGATTGCCCAGCTTCACAGTACTGTGAGCATTTCACCTTATTCGAAATTTTCCCAAATGAGTGGAGCTACGAAAGTGAAGAGGAGGAAGTATTCCAATCTACATCGAAGTGGAACTTTAAACGATTTACCGTGGATGAGGTGTACTCAAGCTCTGAAGATGATGCGGAGAGGGATGGCATCGAATGTAGGGATGTAGGGAATTCACCAGACTTGGATCCACCAGACTTGAATCCACCAGACTTGAATTCACCAGACTTGAATCCACCGGACGAGAATTCAATTTCGTCTGGTGTATATGTAATTGTGAGATATAAAAAAGGACGCAAAAGTAACGAAACTGAGGACTTCATTGGCGTTTGTCAAGGAGGAATGAACAAGAATGAAGTTGATGTCATGTTTTTAAAATCTTGTGACAAATCTAAAGATTTATTCTATACCAATGAGCAAGATGTTGCTACTGTGTCAATAGAACAAATCATTTCCACACTTACACCAATCCTTGATATGAAGGGCCTCAGGGTATTTTATAAATTTAAAATACCAAAGGGTTGTAACGTTATATCATAAAAAGGTTTTCATTATATCAGAAAAAAAGGTTTGATTTAACTTCACTTGTTCACTTGTTTCTTTAAAAATACATTTGATTTTAAGGTCAATAGTATTGTTGCATATTTGATTTATTTTGTGTCTCAACTCAAAACTTGGTTAATCAAGTTGTACTCTTTCACATATTTTATTTTATATGTTGTAGCCCATTTTAAGATAACTTAGGCTAATATTATTCACAATTATATTCGATTTATTTTGTGCCCTAACTCAAAACTTGAAACAACATTCTTTAGAACAATCTGCAAGTTTGTTAGGAAATGTGTTTCGATATAGAAACAACAATCAATTCAATTGCACTTTTCCGTATTTGTTTATATATAAATACAATTTTGATTGTATGATGTTTTGGATTTAGATTTTTTATATTTAATTTGTGAACATACGTAATTTTCACGTATTTTTTTATTATGATGTAGCCTATTTTAAGATAATTTAGGCTAATAGTATTATTCACAGTTAGCCTATATTTGTTTACTTTTTACACAACATTACTTTTTCGCATTTTTGTTTCTGTATAATTTTAATATTAAGATGTTTTAGATTTAGATTTTTTTATTAATTTGTGAACAGACTTAAATTCAATTTAAAAGAAATCTTGTCTATTTGTCAGATAAAAGTGTACTCATTTGTTTTGTTGTAAGGAATAAAGAAAGACAAAGATAACTAAGGTTTTTTATTTACCATACATGATTTTCATTCCAAAGATACATACATATATCATACATACATATATCATTTCATACACATATTACGTCACGCCTCAGGGAGGGAGGGAGGGTTCAGTAAATGCAAAAATGGCGTCATGAAAGTTCTCAAACTGCAGTGATATCAAACCGGTCACACCCGTGACAATTCACTCACGGTCAGAACCAACCGGTCACGGTCACGTTTTTTGCTATTTATAGACTAAATAAGTACATTAAAATTATATTATGTGTACCAGTGGGTAATATTACTCACAGTTTATCTACCGCAAGTGGAGTCTGGTCATTTTTGACATTCCTAACCTCAAGACTGAAAAGTTTTTCACTCAGATCTTAAATTTGTGGGGTAACTTGGGGAAAAAGTTTAAATTACATTAAAATGCGTCTTTTTTTCCTGAAATCTTCATAATATATAGTTACCCATTTGTTAACTAGGTACTTCCATGTTGTTAATTATAATTATAAACTAACCTACATGCAGTAAATATAATGTTAATAGGTGTGACCGTTTTGTACTTTATGAGGACCTCAAAAGGGTAAAAGTTACCAAAAGTACATTAATTAACAAAATTTAGCTCTGCTGCTTTACTGATGGGTTCTAAGGGTTATTAGCTATACATTAATCAATAAATTTTCTCAAAATATATGTTAAATTTTTTTTACTCTCTTTACACAAGTTGGCCTGTTTTGTGGTTTTCACCCATAAATGAAAAAGTTGTAATTTCATTTTTAAAAGTGGTTTATTTGCCAGTCAAAATTACATATTGATGATTTCCCCAACCCCATAAACATTTCATTGTATATATATTTTTTGAGTGCTAACATTGATGTTGTGTCGTAGCACCTCCATCTGCTCCGCTTAATTTCAACGCCATCGACATCACCAGCAAGAGTGTTACCCTACAATGGCAGCCTCCGGCCAGCACTGGCGGAACTGAGCTCACCGGTAAGAATAAATTCTTAAAAAAGATTACTTTTTTTACATTCGAGCTACATACATATTTATAGTCGGGCGTTGCCATTTCTTAAGATTGTCATAGCCAACAACCACATTAGACGAAATTTGGTGCAAGGAGTTAGAACATTTTAAATAAAATGTTACAAAAGAAAACCATGTGCTGTGGACCTCAATTAATTCTTATGTTGTATACAGAGGACCATAACTTTTGAACCTAAGTTGTATTTTCAACCTTTATTTTAGGGTGTGAAGTAAGCAAATTAGCAAATATATAATTGTAGAAATAATTTTGACATTTCAGGTTGGACTTATTTTAAGTCTTTCAGCTCCCAATAAAATATATATTCTTTGTTTTAGCATACCTAAAGTAATATTATTTATTTTTAGGGAGAGAAGGTATAAATGTTTTCACACACACAGGTGGCCAGCCTGTAGTGTGAGACTCCTCAGTAAAATCAGAATACTCACTAAAAATACCCCCTACTCTGTTGGACAAGCCTGGGATTGTTTGTCATATTACTTCAGGTCAGGTGAACATGTGATCTAAGCCCTCGGGGCTCGCACCTTTTCTGCCATTCAATTCCCGTTCAAGGTCGAGCTTCCTGGCGCAGAGAATACCCTGGACGACTTGTGACACACAGGTCCAATTATTGTCCTTTCCAGGGCAGATAAGATAACCATAATAATAATTTTAAATGTATCATTTTGTTATCTCCTTATTAGTATTTCATTTTTGAATTTACCCTGCAATGTACTTGAAATTTGTCGTCTTTTTGTGCTGACAAATGTGTTGTATGTTTTTGCAGGATACATAATTGAAAAGCAGTACGGCAACAGCAAGAAGTGGTCCAAGGTGGTGACTTTGGACCCTGGACATCTGCAATATTGTGTTGAGAATCTGAAGGAGAAGTCGGAGTTGTACTTCAGGATCTACGCTGAGAACATGATTGGGCTCAGTACTGCGGCAGCAACCAGCGTCATCAGCCTGCAGACTCATGCCAGTGAGTACAACTACCAGAACATAGAAAAACCTTTTGGAAGGTGATCCAGCCTGTTGCAATCAGATTACCACGTTGGACTTCCCTCCTGGAGGTGGTACTTCCTTCTGGTTGAAAACCTGTCAATCTCCAAAAGACTTTAATTTTGTGAAAATACTGTGAGGTAGTTTGGAGTTTACCTTAAGTCAGCTACCCAATAGAACCATAAATTGATTGGCCATTTAGGCAAAAAAGCTCCCTCATAAAGAATGTCTCCAAAAGGTCATGTTATAATACAAACTTTTTATCAATTACTACAACCTCCTCCAAATTTCATAAACTTATTGATTATTTTATAAGAGTTAATTGTGCAGAGATTTAAGCTTTTAAGATACACTTTTAACTTAGTAATAATTACCGTCTAGTATTTATGCTAACAATAAGGATTTGTTGCTTCAATTATCATCATGCTTTAATTATAACACAACATTAACAGGTTGCACAAGGCCACGAAAAAAGAGGAGTGTGGCCGCTAATCTCGAAACTTTTTATTATGTTCACTGCCATTTTACACAAAAACCTACCACAGAAGTATGACAATGTGATGGGAGGAAAATTTTGACTAGCTTTAATGTAATTTCTTTTGTCCAACAGCTGTTCCCTCTCCACCAACAGATCCATTGGAGATCCGCAGTTTGGGTCCGAACTCCATCATCGTAGAGTGGGGCGTGCCCGAGACAGATGGAGGGGCGCCGCTGGAGGGGTACAAGATTGCCATCCGCGACGTCAAGAAGACCATGTGGATGGAAGTGGGTCAGGTGTCTGCGGAAGTGCAGAAACTCACCATCAAAGACTTGCAAGTAAGTGTTACGCAGTGTTGTAATGGGGTGGGAACTCGCTTCCCATGCGTTTTTTCCAAGAATTCTTTGTATTTTAATATAATTTTTTTATGTATTATAATTAGACCATTTTGACTGAGTTTACTTCTTCTGTATCTCTGAGGTGATACTAAGCCTGTGATTGCACTAAGCATTTTTCTAGTAGATCTGAATGGTGATATTAAGACAACTTAAAATATTATCCGATATCAAAATTTAGTACAGACTGTAAAGGCTTTCCAGCAAAGTTTTTTTCTAATGTACATGACTTTAAAAAATTATCAAAAATATTATAACAACTTATATTATCAAACCGTAAATAAACTACTTTGACTGTACAAACGAACTGCAATATTTAGAATTATACTGTACCTTTTATAATTTGGTTTCAATATAATTAGTTTCTTTAACTATTTATTTGCCATTCATTAATTTTTATATCAACCTTAATAATATACACTATATATATTGTCTTTTTATCTAGGAAAACCATGAGTACTTGGTTAGAATCTTTGCTCGCAATGAAGTAGGCCTCAGTGATCCTCTGGAATCGGATGAACCGTTCCTGGTCAAGAAGCCTACAGGTATGGAACTGTGTCAAAGGTCTTTTAGGAAAATAAACAACAGTGATCATTTATCAGGATATCAGATCAAAACATTTCTATCAATCAAATTTTATGAAAAATAGATTTTATAAAAAAAACAACAGTTATAAAACTGTACGCAATTGACCAATAAAATAAAATATATCACAGAAAACCACTTTAAGGTAAATAGTTACATCAAAATGTGAGATTTTATACTCGCAAAAATTGTCTGATAATCATGAGTATGAAAATATTTTAAATACAGTACAATTCTTCGTCAATCCTTTGTGGTAATTGGTAATCTATACAATTTTGTTTTGACAATAAAATCATATGAATATGTATGTTTAATAAAGGACCTGGGAGCCAAAAAAAAAGTATTCAGAGGTATTTTGAAGTGGTGATAAAAGTTTTGTAAATTGTTGTCTAAAGCCCCCATACACGGGGGAGCATGTTCGCGAGCCTGTTGGCCGACACGCTCGCAAACATGCTCGGCGTTTCCAACAGACGGTCGAGCATGCGAACTTGCTTGCCGCCACCGCACAGTACTCTTGCTTCTCTCGTGCTGTGACAGTCCGACGAGCTGAACACCGAGCCCAACATGCTCGGCGGTACAAAGACTTGCCGCCAATACCGTCACGAACATGTTTGCCCGTGTATGGGGGGCTTTACTTTTTCTTTTTACAATTAATTGTGCAGCCTACTTAAAAAAAAACAATTTATGTCATGCAGGCTGACCTCAGTTTGCTTAACTACTTTATTGACAACAATAATATTACACTTGGTAAAATAAAATTATCGTTCAACAATACATATTTCTTTTAAACTTTTTTTATTGTTAACTATTAACTAAGATTATTAACAGGTTACAATTATTACCTTTTAGCCCTTATTTTATGTTGAATTCAATTACATATACATTCATACATACATACCATCCATCCATATATACATACATTCATTGTTGAATTTAAATTTAATTACAGAGAAGTAATTCACAGAAGAAAGACTCAATGATACACTTATGTGGTGTCTAGCACTAGTCACTGGTGTCTAGGGCAAAGCCCAACACTCTCTTGCCATTATATGCTACAACCGCAACGGTAGAGGAAGACCCTGGAAGATAGGATTTCCGTACATGTTTGCCTTTCAGGCTCATCCTTGCAAGTCACAAATATATTTCCGGCAACAACATAGGTACTAGAGCTGAAAGCACACGGTCGTCCCATAAGTGAGTTTCCTCTGTACCTTTCTTCTCTGCGATTTAATCAAACAGGATGAAGCACCTTTGCATACACCATATACATTTTTTTGTTATGTGTCAATAAATCATTGTCATTAGATTTAAATTTGCAAGCCTGTTAGTTTTTTTGAGTTGAAGTTTGAAGTACAATGTGAGTGATGTGTGTAGGTATGGAGGAGGCCGATGTGGAAGAGCGTAGTTTGTTGGAGAAGGACACACCGTCACTCAGTTTCAGTACAGAGAACACCTCCTCGTGGATGCGAGAGGCAGGCATGGATGCCGACATCCACTGCTACGCCAAGGGCTCGTTGCTCCGCCGCAGCGAGTACTTCTTCCGCATCTGGTATTACGCTAAGCATTTGTTCAAGTAGATCCAAATGACGCTACCGAGACAGCATTCCCTGAGCTGACTCGATACCGACATTACTACTTTAAGGACCAAGACTGAATGTATACAGAATTTTTGATATTGTACATTTCCCTTGTTTATATATATTGTTAATTATACGTGACCACGAAGATGTCATAGCCACGTAACTTGACGAGTCATTAGCTTTAAGTAATTTTTAACGAACCTGTGATAAAACATGTTTAGTCATGTCAGTCACTATAGACTATGTTGTTGAATTTATCATTTTTGAATGTAACTTTGCTCTAGTGTGTTTTGTTTTGAACCAACAGGTTATTTCGATAACAGGGAGAAAATATAGGTGCAATAAAAAAATTGTTGTCGATTTTATCTGTTGAAATGTTCGGAAAATAAAGATATGTTATGATTTAATTGTATTGTTTCCTTTACATTTTATTCCATTTCATTTTCAAAGGATAAAGCATGTTAGTTTTAATAACTTTTTAGAGTTGTTTATTATAGCAGGGTTGCTGAGTGGGTATGGAGCTTAGTAATCAAGAGGTCGCTGGATCAATCCTGAGAGAAGTCATTAGCTTGTTGATGGTTCAAAACTGGACTCAGCTGTCCACTATCATTGGCAGAATGATCCCTGGATAAGAAACAACTGACCTTTGTCAGTAACAAAGCTACACATACCATCTCATTCATATTTACACCAAGTGTGCATCACTGACTTGTATTGAATTATTTCCTGAATTCTAAAGAGCACAATTTATGTTATGTGGTGTAGTAGTTCATTCCTTGTAGCGTCAAGCCTAAATTAAAATATCCATTTTCTGGCCAAATATCCATTAATTTATTGAACAACAGTCCACATATATTTACTAGTGATCTTTGGTTGCTTTGTTAATGCACGCACAACAATGTATTTTCACTATATTGGTTATAACATAAAATGAATGTCACATTGCAACAAACTAGTGTATAAAAATGAATGTCACATTGCAACAAACTAGTATAAAAATGAATGTCACATTGCAACAAACTAGTATAAAATTAAACTTTAGTAAACATCAAATTTCTAAAGTGCTGTCTGTCTTCATTCCATGTGTTCACTGCTATATTGATATAGGAATCAAAAATCATGGGACCAATAGGCCAGTCATATTAGGTAAAAATACCCCTCTACCTGGAAATAATTCCCTAAACGGGGAAACTTTGCATATGTGTAGTACTAGCACCCAGTAACAACATATCAAAAATCAACACTCGTGCATGCTGTGCTACGGCCGCCATCTTGGAAAATGGCGGCCGATTTTCACTTTTTTGACCATATTTCATTAACCGTTGGATGTACAAAAATATTGTTGATACAAAAGTTGAAGAGCTTAAAAAAATACATATTTTTACTATTTAAACTTTTTTCATATCTCTAACGGTTATCGAGAAAACATAAATTAATAATAACAAAACTTGAATTTTGTTTGAATTTCTGCAGATCAAGTCGAAAATTCAATTTATCACGATCTTTAATCTCCAAGATTTGGCATTTTAGCATACTTATGAATAAAATAAAATACATTTATTAGTTATAAATTATATTTGAACATAATTATTTACAAAGAAAAAAGTAAAACAGTTATTAATATTACATTTTGATTTATTCATCTTGTTCGACCATCTTGGATTCATCAATGTCCACCTCAGGCGAATTCTCGCATGACAATCCCTCACACTTACCACACATTGCTGAACAACGCAGACCTGCCCTTTTGCACTCACAATAGTCAGAACACCTCTTACAATTGCAAGAAATGACGTGCATAATTCTCTCGGGTGCGGGTGGAAGAGTCGTTGGAATAGGTTGTAGTGAATTGTCAACCAAACTCCAGCCCCACTCCCCCACTGACACGGATCTAAATCATGTCCAAGCCATTTTTGAACTTGGTGATAAACACGGAAGCTGTGTTGGGAAGCAGCAGCTGATGTTGGGGGTAGCGTTGCCAAATCAAAATGTGCTTGCAGCTTGCAGCCTTTTCTTAGCAGTGTATTGGTGGTATTTCTTTCCTTACTAGCTTCAACTAGAGAGCTCAGTCCTCTATTAACTTCAACAATTTCACCTTCTTGTAAACTTGATTTGCATATAACACAGCTTTTGCCCTCCATTAAATGCTTATGTAATAATAAACATGATATATTTAACTTTCCCTTAATATATTGTTGATGCAATGTAAACACAACAAAACCTCAAAATTTAAAACTTTATTTTTATGATTGTTTACTTCTAATTACTTATAATCAGCTGAGCAACACCATTCACCTGTGTAGCTGATACACCTGTACCTTGTCTCTCTCCATAGAGTAATATTTCATGCAGTCAGAACATTGCCACACTACTAACCAAACTTCTGACCATACATAGAAGCGTAGTAATCAGTGAATCTGATTTTACGTACATATCTAAATATATAAAACTCAATGTCTTCAAAAATGTCAGAAAACTTTAAAACCTAGGGGACAATTTTAGTGTTTAATTGCCAAAAATCAAACAAGGTGTTGTCATTATTAATTTATTATTGTTATTATTACGTTTTTCTCGATAACCGTTAGAGATATGACAAAAGTTTAAATAGCAAAAATATGTATTTTTTTAAGCCCTTCAACTTTTGTATTACCAATATTTTTGTACATCCAACGGTTAGTGAAATATGGTCAAAAAAGTGAAAATCGGTCGCCATTTTTCAAGATGGCGGCCGTAGCACAGCATGCCCATGCACGAATGTTGATTTTTGATATGTTGTTACTGGGTGCTAGTACTATACAAATGCAAAGTTTCCCCTTTTAGGGAATTATTTCTACGTAATATCCTAATATGACTGGACTACAAGAGCTAGCAAAATTTTACTGCCTTGGTAAGACACTTTTACAAAAAAAAAAAGTAGGGCTTGGTAGTCATTAATCAAATTACCAACTGTGGCAGCTTGGACCACGTACCTTGCCATAAAAAACATACAAGTTCACAGATCAGTGGAGGAGTTAAAAGTTTTAATAAAGGGAGGCAGCCCTAAGGATGGACCACCCTTTATATAGTCATGAAGAGTTTTCAAACGCTTAGTCCAAATATTTATTTTAAAAAAGTCTTTCGGCCCTAATGTAGGACTCAAAATGTCATTATAGAGTCCTACATGAACTCTAGAATAACTTTTCAAATATCAAATTTCATTCAAAATGTGGTATACCTACACCTACACGTTTTTCAAGGTAGGTAAGCATTTTGAGGTTATGTAACATTAACATATTGATCAATCATTAAGTTGGTGATGGAAATGTTATTTAACACAGATTTGATGAGTATTGTATACCTGAATAAAGCTTATTTTGGGCCATAGACTTAATACATTATCGGTATCTATCTATCTATATATTAATAGGCAAGCATGTTTCTTTAAAACCTTTTTTCTCAGGTCGTGTGCATCGCAGAGAAAATCTACGCATACTGTTGGAAAGATATTTTCCTGTAGATGTGCAGAATGCCTCTAAAAATTAAAATAGGCTAACAAATAAGCACAAAAAATTAATTTGAAAACTTCAAAAAATTAACATGGAGCATATGGGTTGCCATGATGGTGACGAAATAACAACAAAATGTAAACAGAAAATCAAAACAAATGGAAGAAATTCAAATCACATGTGTTATTTACAGTGTGGGGAGAAAATAGAGAAGTCTGTACATTAATTATTTTTGGTCGAGTTTCGACCACAGGACGACCACTAGTTAAAGGTTATTCAGTTGAACACAGCTGTAGTATTCACCTCTCTGCTTGGTTTAGGCCTATAGCCATTCCAAAACTTAATAACTTAAGTAGATGGTTCCCATAAGGGAGAGTATCACCATAGACAAATAGAATAAATATAGACTGTCAAAGGAAGGTTCCGGCGCCCACCGCTAGGTTTGCCGTGTAGTTACGCCACACACCGCTGCAGGCCGTATGCGACCAGTAGATGCTGCAGCGGTGTGCGCCGTAACTACAAGGCAAACCTAGCGGTGGACGCCTGAACTTACGCTAACCGCAGCACAGCTGACGGTCTATATTTATTCTATTTGTCTATGGTATCACCTAAACATCCGATTGACTTCTGTACCTGTCACGGTAAGTTGTTTCAAAATTTAGAGGAAAGGAAGATAATCAGCTGGACAAGACTAGCTTAATGTAAATTTTCTTGTTTGTCCCCAAACATAACATTTTCTCTACCAAGCCATATTAACTAATATACTGTGTCCAATAATAATCAAACAGAAACAAGGTAAAGAGAGTCAAAATAAAAAAAAAAACATTATAAACTTTATTGGTTAGCACTGGCAGGGCGATCTTTGAAATGCTTTTTCACACTGGCTGCAAGACATTGCTGCACAACTAAATACACCTCTGTCGCTTGTTTCTCCAGGACTTCCGCCACCTTCTGTAATTCCTCCACCTCCATCAGTCCTGACTGACACAGCTCCGTCACCTGGACACAACATTGGAAACTTCAGCAATCAGCAGACTACCAACAAAAATGATTTAAGACCACAGGCAGATAATAGCAACAAATATGACTGTTAATGTTTAACACTAATATATCAATATATGTAGTATCGCTAGTATCACACAAGAGTTTCCTGTAAGTACCTGTTTAAGACTGGAGAGATATGCCAGAGTGACGACTCCTTGGCTGCTGCTGTCTCTCGGAGTCACCGTCAGACAGACATTCTCCTCCTCCACTGTAGGATCCATCAGTCTCCGCTCTCCGTGGACTCCCTGCCACATAACACAGAGATAGCGTCCACTGGTTAAAGAACCTTGGCAATCCAATCTCCTCAATACAGTAAACACCATCTCATTTGGATTTTTGGATACTTTGGACTGCCACCTGAGTATGACACTGACCGCCTTTCCCAACGTGTAAACAAACAAGTCACTGCCCGATTGTCTAGTGCGTTCCACTACATCCAGATGTTAATTGTTGTATTTCTGTATAGTTTGGTTAAAATCTAGCTTCTTCTCTGGTATTGTACTATCAAATAGTAAAATATACATTGTAACAACTATAAAATAAGACAAAAATAGTCTAAAACATCCAACTTGAGCGTAAACAGACATAAGACACATCAAGAAATGGCCTGTCAATATTTGTTTTGTTTTGTTAGGTTAGGTTTAAATACATAGGTATATATTTTCTAAATATAATATTTTACTGGGAACCTTTCAAAACACTTTTTTGAGAGGTTTTACTTCAGACCATCCAAGGCTTTGGTTTAAACCTCTTGCTATGTTAATTAATCAGAAGGCAAATTAGCTTTAAGGCATTTTCAATACTCAACAGTCAAAAATATATACCAAATATTTAGATAACTAGGCTTTAGTTCCAGTTAATTATTTGTCTAGGTTTAA